CCTCTGGGGACCTTCATAATTTGATCCCTGGGCCATGAGCATAAGCAATTTCTATGAACTCCAGTCATTTTTCTAGTAGTAATTTACTATGGCCATGCCAAATTCTGCCAGAATATATAGAATACAGGTGCTATAGTGACAGTTGTGATATTTATACTAGACTTGAATATTCTTACTTCTAGTATCAGGAACTGGATTTACAGTTGGGTTGCAGATTGCCTCCTAACCCAGCAATGAAGGTGAAGTCACCCATATTCCACAGGGATCTGAGCATCTCTTGCCATGGCAATTACCATAAATTCTCAGCGTCCATGTAGTTCACCTCCTACCTTTACCTGTGAGCAGTTACATCACAGGCTAAATAAAAGGCAGATCCTCTTGTCCTTTGCTCTCTCTTTTCTCTCTTTTCTCCTTTCATCTCCGTCACCACCTTTTGCCCCCTTCCCCCACAATAAACTTCTCACCTGGAACTGTACTAGCCTGGTGTGGTCTCTCTAGACACAAGCTGCGATTCTAACACAACACTTAGCTTTGTACTGACATTAATTTATTAAAATTAAGATACAATTACATTACTTCCCCCTTTCCTTTTCTCTCTCAACCCTCTTAAATATTCCCTTGCTTTATCTCATATTCATAGCCTGTTTTCTTTCTTTTTGTTAAGTATGAGTATATGCATCGTATGTGTTGGAGGATGGAATACAGCATAGGATCGCTGAAGATGCAGTTACAGGCAGTTGTGAATTGTCTGAGGTGGGTGCTGGGAACCAAACTCAGGTCCTGTGAAGGAATAACCACTCTTAAACATGGAACCAAGTCTGTAGGCTCAGAATCTCGTTTTTTTAAAAAAAATTATTACTGTTACACACACACACACACACACACACATATATATATATATATATATATATATATATATATATATACACATACATGCATACATAAACATATAAATAAAATGACCCATTGAGTTCATTTAGTGTTGCTTATGTGTATATGATTTCAGGGCTTGACACTTGGTATTGGACAACCAATCAGAGGGTCAGCTCTGAGGAAGACAATTTCTTCTGCTTTCAGAATTTCTTAGTTGCCTGTAGCTCTTCCTTTAAAGTTACAGCCCCTAAGATTCCCTGTCCCATGTTAGCATGTCTATTGGTAACTATTACTTGTTCAGCTCTTGTTTGGGTAACTATATTATTGAGGTATCATGAGTGAAGCCTCCTTGTCATTTCTAGGAAGCTTAATCACACAGCACATTTCCTGACTCTCTGGCTCTTACAATCTTTCTTCTTTCCCCCTCTTCTGAGATGTTCCCTGAGCCTTAGGTTCAGGTGTTTGTTGTAGGTGTATCCATTAGAGCTGAACATCCCATGATCCTTTGCTCTCTGCATTTTGAACACTTGTGGTTTTTTGTAATGGTCTCTGTCTCTTAAAAAAAACTTCCTTGATGAGGGAGGAGAGCTACCTTTATTTGTGGGCATAAGGATAAGCATTTAGAATGTGGAAAGGAATCAAGCTGGTTTAGTAAAGTGGTAGTAGTCGGTTCTCTAACATCCATGATCTCACTAGCTCCAGGAATTGGTTAGATTTCCAGTTCCAAGCATGCCTCTCCTCCTCCAGTTGAGCAATAGCAAACATGCCTTTCTTCCTGTTGCACAGGCTTTAAATCTAATTAGACAGATATTGATTACTGCCATGATATAAGTGCCACTAGTGCATCTTAAGGGATACCTTGTTATGATGGTCATTGTGGTTTATAGATGTCATGGTTAGGACTATTGGTTGTTTCCCTCTGTTGGTAGCTTTCAGAGTATCTTCCATTATAACCATAGCTAATCTTTAGGGAGGAAACTCTCAGGCTATAATCAGCCTAGAGTATTTGAGTCCTGTGTCCAAAGGGTATGGTGTCTTCAGCAACAGGGAATTACTTTCAAGTTCTGAGAGGCAACTAAGGGCAACAGAAATAACCTACATTTGTTTTAGAAGTTAATTGAACTTCCCTGACTAACAACTCAAAAGGAGGCTTCCCATGCCTGGTACCAGTGTTTTTGTTAGATAGTGTATACCTTTTCACTGAGCATTGTCAGCTTAAGTCACACCACTTGGTATTATTTTCCCTCCTCCCTTCCTGATTCTTCTATATCAACCCCACTTCACTGCCCAGTAAAGCCCTCCTCTATGTTTTCCTTGTATAGTCTTTTCACCTAAGATTCATCACAAGGGGCTATTAGCACAGAGCACAAGACTCTGTGAGTGTAGATTGGATCACCCAAACAGCAGGTTAGCGAGCACTTGTCATTCTTCCCACTGCATCTCCAGAGCACAGCATTCTTAGACTCCTCTTACAACAAGGCTGGCTATCATCATCATCGTCATCATCGTCATCATTGTCATCCTACATTATTGACAGGCTGACAGCTATTAGCAGCGGGATTGTCTAAAGTAATGTTGAGACTGGAGAATGACTGGATAGTATGTACCTTTGAACTTGGATACATGCCCAGGACTCTGCTTAGAATCCAGCTTAGAATCCTCTTTGCTGAGATAGAATGTAGACTAGCATCAGAGGAATATCCTGGCTGTCACCACTGTTACAACAGATGGTTAATAAAAGCTTTGAACTCTCACCAGGGAGATGTGAGAGACACAGTGGGAACAGGTGCTGGTGTAGAGTGGTCTCCCAGTCCCTCAGGCCTTTCATATCTGATTGATACATTGAGCACATGGATTTGGTCATGACAAGAGCAAAACAGTGGACATCTGGACCTTCAGACATGTCTTCCTTCAGAAAAAGGATTCCTTTACAGTCTAGACCTACATATGTTAGTGGGTTAGACCCCAAGAGAGACTTTAAGTCCTGAGTGTGTGTGTGTGTGTGTGTGTGTGTGTGTAGTGGTGTGCTAAAGAACACAGAAGTACCAAGGAGAGTGATGATGTAGTTAGGGTCTGCAGGATCTCGTGGGAAACAGGCTTCAGGCCTGTATGGAGTTGTAGAAAACTTTCTAAACAGATGTCTGGTCTGGAAGCTGCCTTAGAGGTGCTGACAGGAGCAGGAAGACATGCAAAGAGGTGGAGACTCCATTGTGTTTCTTTATTATCGGGTCTGGGACTGGGCAGTGTTCTGGGGTTCCAAGTAAATGTCACAGAACAAATGTGGTGTGGGGGACTTTTCTGCTGCTCTCTGCTCTTCTGACCTTACTGGCAAGAGTTGTCTCCATTTGCCAGTACAACCATTTAATAGTGAGACTGTCATCCCTGAGAAACTGCTACATGTAATCAATAATTCACATGGGCATGCAGTTACTAGAGAATGACTGTGTGATGCTAGAGATGAGCTGTTAACTACAATTTTGTTTACAATGGTCTTCACTGAGTATTAAACAAATGGCCGTATGACAGGAGTTACATGTAAAACAATGAACTTGGATAGATGCTTAAAGGAATTCATGAAAGCATTTCGTATGTGCCCAGTTGGATTTGGTAAGACATCTGATCATTAATTATTTCACTTAAGACAATAGAAACTGAAGAAGTTCAGATTGTAAACACCACAGGATCAGGTGTAATTAACATTTTGATGTGTCAGAAAAGCCTTACCAGCTGAGTCCCTGCAGTTACTTTAAGATGCTTAAAGTCTGATTTCAGTCTACGTGATTTCAGTGACCTTTTATTTGATTTAGACAACCACAGAGTAGTCTATAGGGCAAATACACCATTCTTTTAGTCAACATTTTTTCTGTAGTTTTATGGAACTTCAAAGCACTCAAAGTGTGAAGCAAATCTTCACCACTGGAAATGGAAACACTGGTCTATAACCCAGTGTCTTAGTATAACCTGTGGTTTTAGACAGGAAGTGCCGTCTCTGTTGGACACTGCCTTGCTTCTAATCTGATTTTGTGACTTGTATTCCTACTAACATTGGCATTAGCTTAAATATTCCTACGTTCTATTTTTCCCTTTCTTCTAGAGCGTATGTAGTTTAAGCTAATACCATGTATTAAAAACTCGGTTTTTATCTTTTTTCTAACCTTAAGATTTATTCACGTATTTATTTCACGTAAGAGTGCTCTATCTGCATGTCCACGTGCAGTCCAGAAGAGGGCATCAGATCACATTATAGATGATCATGAGCCACCATGTGGTTGCTGGGTACTAAACTCAGGACCTCGAGATGAACAGCCAGTGCTCTTAACTGCTGAGCCATCTCTCCAGCATCAGAAGTTCATTATTTTCATGGGTTTGAGATTTGTCTTAAATAAGGAATTAGTGGAATTTCAACTCTGTCCTTGGATCAAGATTATCTGTCTGGATAGCTCAGCACTGAGTGGGAGGGTTTCAGGGAGAGAGTCTTGACCTGGGGAGAGATGCTGATTCAGAAAGTGGGATAAGGTGACAAGGGGGATGCATGGCTTAGGGAAGAAAAAAATCTCATCTTGATCCCCATGCTGAGGAGAGTGGCCCACAGGGTGTGTTTGTGATTGGGAAGAAATCTCATTTTCTGTAGGAACGTCACTCTATCTAGGCAGATGTCATTGGGTATCCACTAGAGAAGGAGTGTTTATGCTCCTTCAGTATCAATACATGGAAACCTAATCCCTATCAGAAAGGAATTACATGAGAAGTGACAGCTACTGAACCCTTGTGAGTAGCAGTCCTGTTAGAGAGGCCCCATGGATTCCTCTTGTGCTTTCTACATTGTGAGAATGCAGGAAAGGATAGCTGTGATCTAGTGAACAGCTTCTCATCAGACACCGGATGCTGATGCCTTGACTTTGAACTTCTCAGCCTCTGAAATATGGTAAAATGAATGTCTGTTGTTTAATATACCACTCTAATACCACTATGTGGTTCTTTGACATATGAGTTCCAACACAGTAAGACAACACTAAATAATATTTAATAAACAAAAATATATGCTGTCCAGGAGACATTAATAAGGGCTATGGAAATCACCTGGAGCTGGTCTGCATCTGAGACAGGAACTCAGCAGGTCCCTGATATCATGGAGCAAGACGTCTCATTGTTCTTTTGATCCAGGGCATGAAGCTCTGGATCTTGGTGAATACAGCTGGAGGGTTCCCATTGTTGCTTCCATAGGAGACAATGCCCTGGGCCACATTGCTACATACCAGAGGACCACCAGAATCCCCCTGTGGGCAGAGGAGAAAAAGAACATGAAGCTAGGCTTTCTGGATCTTGCTGCCCTATGATACAGGCTCCCAGAGAAAGGTATGTGTTGGAGGCTTCTTCCAGTTGCCTGTGTGTGGGCGATGGGCTTTTGATGGGCTTACAGGAAACAATTTGCTGTGTCTTTCAGCTGCTAGCCTTCAGATCCTGTTAAAGTTACTGCTGTCAGCTAACTCCATCAAGGTACTTCTACCTTCCCCAGTACACTAAATTGTGGGTCTTCCTGTCATTCCTGAAGAGGAAAAACCCTTTCCACTTTGGTCTAGTCCCCAGGTTTGAAGGAGTGGAGACCTGTCCTGCTGTCCTCTGCCAGCCTTGAGCCCCTTGTCCCAAGAAAAATACTGGTGGGTGTTCACAATCTTACCCTGAAGGCAGACTTCCTCTCTCTTGGGTTTCCCACACAGATCTGAGTCTGGCTGTTGTAGAATTGGAAGCGATTGGAGCACTTTTGGTCCATCTGGATTCTTAGCTGCACCTCCTGGAGTACATTTGTTCTCCTTCCCTGGCTCACCTGGCCCCAGCCAGCCACTGTGCACACATCCCCTGGCTGCAGTTTCCTGCTGGCCTGAGGCAGAGCCACTGGCTTCACTGCTCTACTCCTCCGGGCTCTGCTCCTCAGCTGTCAGGAGGGATGGAGGCATTCCAGCTCAGCTGCTGTCTCCCACCAGCACCCATTGATTCTTCCTCCCCATCACCCCTCTGGAATCCTGTTGAGGCATTCTCCTCAAAAGCCACACACCAGGAGTGAGCCAGTAAGCCTGGAGAACCAGAGGTCAGAAGGGGAGTACCTGCAGTAGCATGATGTCATTCCTAATGGTCTGTGGATTGTAATCAGGATGGCGGATGGCTCTGAGCACAGTGATGTGTTGCTGGGTCTTTTCTCGCCTTTGGATGTTGTGGGCCCCTAGGGTAACATTTATGGAGCTGCAAAAGAAAGGTTGTGATAGAGGTAGGTATGATAACCAGGATCTTAGATCCAGCAGTTCAGAAGGGCAGATGAATATCCCAAGGGCAGAAAAATAAGCTGGAAGTGGGGGTGAGGGGGGGGAAGTGCGAGGGCCTTAGGCCTGACCCCTGCCTGCTGATTCCCACAAACCCTGAAATGGGGAAAGCAGATTAAACATAAACAGTCTGAGTTCATAGTTAGCGCCCAGCCTGTGTCTTCCACTTTCTGTTTCTTTTTGGACCACAGCCTCCTTTTCTGTGTATGGGCACTTGCTTCTTACCACCCTCCTCCTGGTCCCATCTTGTCTCCAGAGGTTCATTATCATGCTACTCAATTGTAATTGCATACTTTCAGGCTCTGTTGAGGGAATTTGGGGACACTGACTTCCTCAGAAGCCCCTGAGTTTCTCACCTTCCCAAGCAATGACCTGCTGTTAGGACAAAGTCTTCTCGCACTAGAAACCCTCCACAAGCACTCAGCCCTTCTGGACTCTGGATCAGAAGAAATGCCATGTAGGGGTACGAATTTGGTTTGGCTTCTCGGCCTCCAATGATCTTTCCTGCAAAGAGGCATCTGCCACTCACCTGTGTACTTGGAAACTTGCTGACAGCGCCAGGTGGGCAGCTTAAGAAAGGCTGGAAGTGGGGGAGGGAGGTGATACAGAAGAGCTTTGTGGAACATCAGACACAGGGAGAAGATGCCAAGACTCCACAGGAGTTACTCCTAGCTTGAAGGGAAATTCATCTCCTTCCCAGACCTTCTCCAAATGGAAAACTATGCTTTGTTCCACATGAGGCTGACTCAGGCTATTGAGGCAAGATGCTTTCCCAAAGTATGAACTTTCTCTGTTTTCTGGTACTTCTTTCTTCAGAGAACAACCCATGGCCCAGAGTCTACCTTCACAAATCTTGGGACTAGATATGGGTGACTGAATAAATTCATGTAGAAAATATTTATATAGTACTTTCTATGTGTGAAGGCCAATGACAAGACTCTCTTGTATATTAACTAATTTAATTTCCATCCAACTCTATATGGCAGTAATAATGTTATCTACATTTTATAATTAAGGAATCTGAGGAGACGTAAGTTCAAGTAACTTGCTCAACAATAGAGAGTTAGGATTGCTACAACATGTCTATTCAAGTGTATAGGATAGGACCCATTCTATGAGGTGCGGTTGGCCACTCACCTGCCTCATCTCCTTGGAGTAGAATAAAGGTCAACAGGAGCAAAAGTGGCTGCATCTTTCCAGAACTGGTGCTTAGTTGCTGCTTGTACTTTCCTCTGGCAGACTTTTATCCTCCCCTGGAGAGGAAGGAAGGGTGTGCTGAGAAGTCACAGGTCCATTTTCCTGCTCCTGTGATAGATTTCATCACCCAAGGCTTCCTAGGAGGTTTGCACACCAACTGCCAGTGATCTGGGAGAAGAGAGAGTTGTCTACATCTATGTGTTGTCCCACACAGTTGCTGTGTCCTTGCTAACAGCAAAATAGAAATCCAGCAAAGAGTGAGGTCTTTGAATATTGTGTACCAAGAATACCATACACCAATAATTCTGGGAAACTGGTGACTACTTTCTTTTCCTCCTCTCCTTCTGGGATTACAGCTTCAGTTGACAATGAAAGACACACACACACACACACACACACACACACACACACACTGAGGATGACTTTGAACTTCTGATATTCCTGCCTCCATTCCTGACTGCTGGAGTTCACCACAATATCAGGTTTATGAGGTGCTGGGAATCAAACCTAGAGTCTCATGCATGATAGGCAATCACAATATCTGCTGAGCTAAAGCTCTCCAGTTCTGGACCTCTTCCTCACTTCCATTTAGCAATGTCCAAGGATAAGGTGAGTAAATGATGGTGAGTGTGGGGGAGGTATGGATGAAGACAGCAGCAACATGCCAAAGAGGGATAAAGAGAAATAAAACCTGCTTGTCTTCATCCTTTAAGAACCCTACTGCTCCTACTACTGTCTAGAAGTTGCCAAGATTGATAGAATGAATGGTCACTCTCTTGAAGTCATGGAGGGAGCTACTGGGGAAGGAAAGGGTAGATCAAACCTCTCATATTGACTGTTTCTCTTAGGTCGCCTGAGCTGCAACCCACACTCAGAGAAAATCATAACTCACTTGAAGAGTTTTTGTCAATTCTGGCAAAGATCTTTGTGTTCTGCAGGATGCCCTGAATGCTGTGGTGCCCAGCAGGCTGACTTGCTGAGAGCTCTCTGCTTCGAAACATTTGGGATCCCATATCATTGATGATGGAAGACACCAGGCAGCCTGGTTTCCATTCTCTGCCTTGTAGATACCAACTTTAAAGAGAAGAAAGAAAAGAAAGAGAAAATAAAGTAGTCACCAGTTTCCCTGAATTATTGAGTGTATGGTCACTCATCGTTTATTACGTGTACCTCAAGAAAAGCTATGGTTAAATAATGAACAGTATGGGACAGTGGGGGTGAGATGACACAAAAGAGATCGCTGTTACACAGCGGATCTTTAAACCTGCTGAAGAATAGCTAACAGATTCAGTGTTTGCTGCAGAGCATTGTAATCCTGTATCTCTTCTGTGAAGGAGCTGAAGACTGACATACTAATATATGGAGCATGTAGGCTAACTCCTAAAAACCTTAGAAGTTAAGGATTCTTTCTCATCTCATACACAGTTTCCCACTTATTTTATAGTTGCATGAACTGTAATCCCATCTTAATCCATGTTCTCTGACATTTTATTTTTTTGTGTTATGAATTTATTTTGTTTGTTTTGTCTTGAGAAAGGGTTTCTCTGTGTAATCCTGGCTGAGCTGGAACTTAGAACTAGGCTGGCCTCAGACTCAGAGATCTTCCTCCTTCTGTCTCCTGAATGCAGGGGTAAGAGACAGGTGCCACCAAGGCCAGGTTTGGATTTGTTTGTGTGGGAGGAGTAGCAGAGGGAAGATAGAAGAGCACCTAGCATTCTTACCTTTGCATTTGCTATAATTTCATTTCACTGATATCTTAACATTTTGCGTTGTTTCTGAAATGATATCTGAATGGAAATAAAGGAAAAAATGATAAAATTGTCTGCATATACAGAAAAAGAGGGATGAAAGACATACCCTGACTTATGTAGATACAGCTGTGCATAGGGCATTTTGTACTAGGGAACAAGGAATTCATGTCAACTTTCCCACTGAAATCAACCAAAAACCCAGCTGCTTAAAATAACCAGCGAATGTAAAAGCCTGAGAACTGCCTGTACAGGAGTTATTGTCAGGCCCTGATTGAAAGAATAGTGAGTCTAGGCAGGAAGCTAATGATGTCCAGGGAAGGTACTGAACCCATGAATTATGAACCTTTGAAAATCAAAATAGTGAAAGACTATTGTATATAACTCCTGCAGACAGGGCTCCCATCTCTTTGATGGGATTAGCATAACTTTAAGACCAAATCTAATGAAAATATTAATCTTTATGAGAAAGATACTGATGTGTCATATTTTCAAGTCTTTATTTGCGCTTGGCCCTATTTTCTCCCTAGAAAGAATTTTTTTGGTGTGGTGTGAATAAAAAGACATAGTGTACTTTTTCCACACAGAAAATATGTGTCCACATAAGACAATAGAAACTTGTGCCTTATAAATATTACCTATTAGGGTGAAAAGAAGACAAAACCTTACTATGTCAGAGGATGCACCCTCTATCACAAACGAAATATCCAGCCAACAGCCATAACATATGTGAAAAGAACATTATGGAGCAATGTTACTTTGAATACATATCAAATTTGATATACAATAATACACACAAATTAGCAAAAATTTACACCATGAGAAGATTGAGTTTATTCTAGGAGCATGTGGTTGTCTTTGCATTTGAAAATTGGTTGCTATAGTAACTAACTGATTAGAGAGAAACATTGTTCACAGTGATGCAAGAACAAAAGGAAAAACTGCCTAAGTATTTGCTAAATTTCACAATCATTCATTGCATTTTTTTACAGCAAATTAGAAAGGAATCTGATCTCATAAAATTAAACACTAATAATAATTAATGGTGAAACATAAGAAACGTTTTCTTTCAGAGCAAAAATATATCAAAATACCTGGATATAAATTGCCATCCATCATCTTCCATGTCATGTTAGCAGTTTGAGTTAGTTAGGCAGGAAATATAAGTGAAAGGGCTAAGGCCCAGGAAGGAGGAAACCAAACTGTAGTATTTGTGGATAGGGAAGTACTTAGAGAGGCTTTAAAAGAATCTACAACTAAATTACCATCATTGATATAAGAGCCTAACAAAGGGGCTGGATAAAAAAAATCAATTGTATTTTTACAAATATAGCAATAGTGTTAGAAAAATTAAAAATGCAATAATTTAATATATAATTGCATAGAAATGAAAAAATGATAAAACTACATGAAAGTTTAAAAGAACAGATGTGATAAAAATGAGCAAAGAATCATTTAAGAAGACTTAAACATAGTGATTTCCATGCACATGAACTGGAAGACAATACTATAAAAGTGTCTTTTTCCCCAAAGTTGACATGTAGATCCATTGCTCTTGAGAAATATTTTGTAGGATTCTTTGCAAGTGTGTGTGTGTGTGTGTGTGTGTGTGTGTGTGTGTGTGTGCTGATATGTGACATAGCATATGGAGAGAGTTCAGAGGACAACCCATGGGGGTTAAGGTTTGCTTTTAGACCTCACACAGTCCGATATTGACATACCACATACGACAATTTTGTTCTCCATCAAATACTCACTGAGCAGGGTCAACTCTGCTCAGATCAGACAAGACTAGGCATGTTCCGGGGGGAAGGTATGGCTGTTGGCTGCATATTTAATTTTTGATAGAAATTACATCCCTTGACGTAGTAAAAACTAATATTCTCTTATTTCTAATAATGAGAAATGATATTTATAAGGCACAAGCTTTTCCAGCATCCTAGAAGCACAGACATTTCTATGTGGAAGAGATAAAACTTTACCTGTTATTTATGCCACTTCAAAAATTCTAGGAGAGGAAGGACATTGACCAAATGTGAATAAAGACTTGAAAATATGAGACATCAATATCTCTATCATAGATAAAGATTTTATATACTATAATTAAAAGTAAACAATATAAAGAGAATAATTGATGGATTTGATACATTAAAATCGAGAGGAAACAAAGACAGAGATTCTTAGAACACACACAACCAGCAAGACTTGTGAGTCAAGTTATATAATGAACTTCCATAAAGCAGTGTGAAAGATAAATAAATAAACAGCATAATGGACTTTAATAGAAATCTCAAAACAGAACAACCAGCTGACCAATAAACATCTTGAGAGTTGCTGATCTCACCAGGTATCACCAAAGCAGCAAGTTAAAACACTCTGAGCTACCAACATCACCACCCATCCATCGATATAAATGTGAAGGAAGCCTGTGTCCAAGAAGGCTGCATCAAGCCAGAATCGCAGCACTTCAAGGATTGGCATAGAGAGTCATAGAGGGCTTCTGGAGAATGGCCCACTTCCTGACATAAAACACAGTGATTGTCTTATAAGTATTCTTTCAAGAGTATACATGGAATCTGTAGACTTTTCAAGTGAGCATATTTCACAATAAACACACACACACACACAGTTTGCTTGCTATAGAGTGGGTGTTAGAGAAAACATTTGAGTGGAGAGGAGATTAGCATAATATATTAGAGCTTGTACCTTTAAAATGTTTTTACTTTAATAAAAAATGTGGTTTGAACAAGTAAGACTGTGATAGGTTTCACAATGTCCATGGCTGGTGGCATCTGTTTCCGGCTGTTCCACTACATTTCTGTCAGTTACAGTTTTTCTCCTTTGGGGTGTTGGGACACCAATAGTGGGTGTTTCCCATCTCCACGCTCTGATCCTCTGGGCAGGCAGTGAACAGATGCCACTGGCTCAGAGTTCTACCCTCCCGCCCGCCCCCCCCCCCAATCAAGAAACCAATTTAGTTGTTCTTGACTTTGTAGGAGACTGGGACTCTACTGACCTCAGGTCCTCAGGGTGTCTTAGTGTCACTCCTGAAATGGTGTTTGGAAAAATCTCAGATGCCTCCTCTGAGTGTGGATATTTTGTCATTATTGGTGTTGGGAGTAGGATGCATCACAAGCAGTCCTTTTGACATAGTGTCTGCAAGCAGCCAGACCTTTTAATGGAGAATTGGAGTGTGTGTTGCTTTCTGTGAAATAGCAGCAGGCAACAAAGGAGATATGGAAGCTCCAAA